TTCCTCACCTCTTAGACAGGGGATGCACTAGCACAAACACACTGGGAAGAATTAGCCTTCTCCTGACAAAAACAAAGCTTGGCACCCACAGGCCAGTGGGGTCACTAGCTAAGTTCTTACAGAAACCAAGGTTTCTGTAGAAAATGTGTTAAGCCAGGGAGTAGTGGCGCACGCCTTCAATCCCAGCACTCGGGAGGCAGAGGCAGGCGGATCTCTGTGATTTCAAGGCCAGCATGGTCTACAGAGGAAGATCCAGGACAGGCACCAAAGCTACACGGAGAAACCCTGTCTCAAAAAATCAAAACCAAAACCAAAAAAAAAAAAAAAAAAAGTGTTAAAATGTCCACTGTGGTATTGTTTATCATGGCGAAGAACAGAAGCAATCTAAATGTTCAGCAATAGGAGAAGAAAGGAACTTATAGATTATTCAAGGAGAAAATACTAAACATCTCTTAATATGAAGTAAATAAATCCACAGGCATCTCAGTGTGGCTGGAGTCCAGAACAACACTTAGTGGTGAGGCGCTATGCAGAATCATAGATGAGAGTGTGAGGACACACATCCGTATCTTTAAAACACACAGTCATACATACTATCCATACAGAAATGCAGTTAAAGATATAATGATATGCATGAAAATAACAGTGAGAACGAGTGATGGTCACTTTGGGGGAATGAAGGGCTCCAGAGGGAACTGGGGATGTGGTTCCGTTGATAGAGTGCTTACCTGGCATGCACAAAGCCCTGAGGTCAATCCCCTGCACTACACAAACTGGCCTTGGAGCACACAGCTATAATCCCAGAATGTAGGGTGGGTTAACCAAAACTACGGATGTATGAAAAAGTCTTATATGGACACCCACTAGTTAGTAAGCTAACTTCAAAATATAACTTTAAAAAGAGTTCAAACAGAATTACTGTGCATCAGAGGACAATGCCACTCCTAGAAGACATGGGTTATTAAATGCAGGATCAAGAGCCCCAAGAGGTGTCCAAAACAGCACAGGCTATTGCTACTGCCCTTGGCCACCCACCACAACTGCATGGTAAGACCCTGCTGCTGAATATGCCACACGATCTGGCGGCAGGCCATAGCGAAATCAAACAAACTGAGAACCATCCTCTCCACTGGCTAGATTTCACAGTTTCAGGAGCAAACTTCTGAGAAAGAAATCATTGTTCTTATTGCATGCTGGGCCCTGCATGAGGGAATATCGACCTGGCTGGCAAGATGTACCCATTGATGCAATAGTGGCATGTCAATCACAGGGTAACTAACTGCTTTCTGGTTGGATTTGAGGCCTGTGCCACAGGAGAGAAATTCATGCCTAATCCTGTAATCCCAGTCAAAAACCCAGAGCTACAGGAGGTCATAGGCCCTATTATTGTTTTGATAAATGGTCATGTTGCCATTGCTTTCTAATATTTATGTTTATACACAGACCTAGACTACTCTCCACCTTGGTCAAAGAAACTTGGGCAATCAGTCAACGCTGAGATGCATGACCAGTCTAAGTGCTGAGCATTGAGACTGAAGGTTCAACCCGAAGTGGGGCATCCTTCTTCACCATTACCACCATGGCTGGGGGAACATGGTGGAATAAGAGAAAGAATGCAAGAGCTGGAGAGTGGGAAGTAGGGCCTTGCCCTCATCAGCTCACGGCTGCAGTGATGACCTGCACAAGATCTTCACAAGAGCAAGTCAGCCGAAGTTCCAGCATAGGTGAAGCCTATGCTCTCCAGGCCCCACTGCTTGCTGAGGAGCGACCAGCAGCTGACAGTTGCTGGAGAGGGAAAGGCACTCTTGTCTGAACATGTGGCCACTGGTACACTTCCCATGTTCCAGAGGGTGGTCCCGCACCCGTGCACATATGGGTGGCACTAATCAGACTCAGTGGGTTTTCAAAAGAGATAGAACACACCTTATGGAAAGGGACATGTTGGGGGCAACTTGGGGATATAAGTTAGAGAAAGAAATGGGATGGCTATGATCATGTTTTATAGTATAAATGTATAAAATTCTCAAAAATAAAGAAAAATTATATTTTTTAAAGAGACAAAAGGATGTGGACTTTCAAGAAAGTTTTTCTTTCACTTAAGGAAAACATTGGGATGCATTAGGTTTGCACTTTTTCATAGTTTTAAAGTTAAAATTACTTTTTCCAATCAATCAGCCACATAGCTTCTTAACTCCAACTGGTGGTCTAGAAGAAGAAAAATAAAACTGGCTAAGGTAAGGGCTTGGGTGGGAGGGAACCTCTGAGTGTCTACAGAGTGCTGCGTTTTCTTGACATCAAAGAGCATTCGCAGTTGTGAGGGTCTAGTAAATTCCCTCTGTGGAGCATGCAGGAACTCTCCCAACACCCAGCTCACCTCTCGCATGTGCCTTTTCAGGTGCATGTACACACTCTGTCCAGTTTTTCGAAAATGCCTTTCAACGTGCTCCCTTCCAAAGGCCAAAAATGTATTCATGCATATATAGAGTCCACCTTCAGAGTTCTAGAAGAAAGAGAAGGGGTAAAAGTTACCAAGGGCACCTGGCCAAGCCATCAAGATACAGACAACTGGAAGAGGAAGAAAGGTAAATGATTAAGGGTCAACCTCAGCAAAGGGCTACAATGATTCTTGGTGTCTGCCAGAGCCTGAACGGCTGCACACCCACCCCGGTAGAGCACCATGTTTATTGAGTACAGTCTGCCAGAGTCTCAATGGCTTCACACCCACCCTGGTAGAGCACCATGCATACTGAGTACAGTCTGCCAGAGTCTCAGTGGCTTCACACCCACCCCGGTAGAGCACCATGTTTATTGAGTACAGGCTACTTTCACCTCAGATGAGATACTACAGGCTCTAGAAACGTGTATGTGACATTTCACATAGGGCAAAGGAAGGGAGACAGAAAGGAGCTATACATTACAGCATGCCATGAAGCGCATCTCAACTTTCAGTTTGAGTGGAGCTTCTGGGTTCATCGAGTTTCCAGAGAATTCACTAAGAGAAGAGCCCTGCCCTTACCATGGGTTGCAGCAGCCAATAGGCCAGGGGCTAGATGGGATAAAAGAGGAGTAGGAAGAAGCTCTGTAACACACTCATTTTCTCTCTGCTTCCTGAATGCAGTGAGGTGAGCAACTCTGTTCTGCCACACCAGAGACCACAGCAATGGAGCTGGCCAACCAGGGACTGAGACCTCTAAAGTCATACGCCAGAATAAATCCTTCCTCCATCAAACTTTTTCTCAAGTGTTTGTCACAGAGACAGAAGGACTAACAGACATGCCTGGTATGCTGTCCAAGAGAATATGTAATAGCTGCTTTTGTTAGCCACGTCAAGTTATTGATTAATATTTCCATTTCATAGTTTAAAAAACTAATCATGAGTCACTTTCCCCAAGTATATATAGCCTGCAAGTTCCAGAGCTAGGTTTCAATCTGTTTCTCTTTTTCTCTCTCCTTGCCACATTTTAAAACACATAAAGTTATTTCATCAGAATGAAGCCAGGGTTGACGTTCACATTCAAGCTACTTGCCTTTGTCTCACTTTCGTATCTTCTTCTCTTACTTTGCCTAACAGCACCCTCTGAGTACCTAGTCTACTAAATTACCCAGCCTTTCTTCAAGGAGGCGGGTCCTGTGAGACCACTGCCAGTCCCCCCTCCAAAGAAAATGAGAAAAAGATACAACAGGTACACAGACGTCCATGCAGTAAAACACCCATGTGTGTAAAATAATATAGGAAAATAAAGGAAAACAAACCTGAATGGGAAATACTCACCAGCCAACACATGGAGAGATTCCTTACACTAACATCAGGTGTATACCTGTACACCTGTGAATCCAGCACTCAGGAGAGTGAGGCAGGAGGATTGTGAGTTCGAAGCCAGCCTGGACTACAGAGTGAGATCAAAGGAAGGGAAAGAGGGAAGAAGAAAAGAAAAATCCTTTAAATAAAGGTAACATTCACCTGATCAATACTTTAGAGAAGCCTTCAAATGTTTTTCTTTTAAGTAAACATGATCTCTAGCATAGTTGTACCCAATAGATAAAAACATACAAATATAAAGATATTATATATACATATAATATCTATGATGGTCATTGATTTATTACATCAAGCATTATATTGTGATCAGGAACAAAACACTTCCATTTGCTCTCAATAAAATGTTAATTCAATTAAAGAATCTAAACTGTAAGGTATGGGGCAGGGAATCTGTAACAAAGGTCATGAATGAGCCAGCCAGCTCTGCAGCTTGATGGGATGCTGAGAACCTTGGGCTCCATGTTCTCCAGAAACGATGCCTTGGTAACTCCCACCTCATGAGGCTGCTTAAGTAGAAAAGAGAAAAAAAACACACCAAAGAGCTTCCTGTGCTACAAAACATTACCCAAATGTTGGCTATCCACTGTTAGGAGGTAATTAATTCTCCTCCTAGTGCGGTCCTTCTACAATTGGGGAGATCAGCAGAAGGGAGATGAAGCAGTTCTCACGGCCATGCAGGCCAGGGCCAAGGAATAGTCATCAGTCAGACTGAAGGAAAATGCAGGCAAACCGTGAGAGAAGAGAGAAACTGGTAAATGGAAGAAGGAAAATGCTATATTATAACATTTTCCTAAAGACAAATATAAAACTGCTCAATAATGCATATTCCAAAGAATAGCCAGGCTAATCCTTTGATAATCTATTAAAGCCATCTAACAGTTTTTGTTTGTTTGTTTTTACTTTCTAGTGCATTGATAGAAATTTAATACACCAAGCACTGGTGACATTGTCCCAAAGTCCATAATCAAACAGAACAACTCTGGACAAGAGAGAGAGACAGAGACAGAGAGAGAGATGGAGGCTGTTATAAACATCCACAGACGTCTTTCATGTGACACATAAGACTGGCCTCTAAAACAGGAAGTGGTTGCTGTGCTGCTGTGAAGGTACTTCATGGGGAACTTGTCAATAGGTGCAAAGTTCAGGGCACACAGGACCAGAGAGCTCTGTCAAAGCTCCCCAGCAAACAGTCAGCAAGCAGTCCAGTCTAATGAGCTACGCTCTCGTCCCCCCTGCCTCACTAATGTCTACATACTGGTCCCAGCTAGACGGTGTCTCAAGTCTAATCCCAGCACTCAGGAGGCTGAAGCAGGGGGAATAGCCACTAGTTTAAGACTTTGACTACAGTCAGTTTCAGGTCAGTCTGAGCTACAAAATGATACTCCATCTGTCCTGGATGGGTTTTTATCAACTCGACATAAGCTAGAGTTATCTGGAAAGAGAAACCTCCATTGAAGAAATGCCTTCATCCAGATTACCTGCAGGCAAAAGTCTGTAGGGCGCGTTGCGTGCATGTGTGCGTGATTGATGTGGGAGGGCCCAGCACATTTTGAGTGGGGTCACTCCTGTGCAGGTGGTCCTGACTTGTATGAATAGGAAAGCAGGCTGATCAAGTTATGAAAACCAAGCCAGTAAGGAGCACCCCTCCACAGCCTCTGCTTCGGTTCCTGCCTCCAGGTTCCTGCCTTAAGTTTCTTCCCTGAGTTTCCTCCGTGATGGACTATGATGTGAAAGTATAAGACGAAATAAATCCTTTCCTCCCCAAGTTCCTTTTGGTCATGGCGTTTTATCACAGCAATAGAAACCCTAATTGAGACAGATATTAATACCAAGGTATGGGGTACTGCTGTGAAAGACCAGATTTGCATTTTGGGGAGGACTGTGGGAACAGTTTGGAATTTCGTGCTAGAAAAGCCACTGAGTGATCAGATTTAATGAGCTATTGTGAGAACTTAGAAGATAATGCCCAGAGTGGTGCAAACGATAAAGTCCTGGATGGGAAGCTGCAGAGGGAGGTTTGAGAGTCCCTTAAAGGCTTTGTAAAGGTCACTCAATATTTTGAGACTTAAGAATCTGTGGTACTAAGTCGGTTGGGGCTGAATAATTAGCTATGATTAATGGGAGACCAGAACCACTAAAGTGATTCTTTGCTAGGAAGATCAATACTAGCCAGCTGGGGCTGAAAAATCAGCTGTGCTTAACAAGAGACCAGCATCCTCGAGGTGGCATCTTCTGTGAAGTGTTTCCTCAGGTCAGCACTCAGGAGCTGTGGTCCAGAGGCAGCCAAGGATGTACCTCATGCTGGCAGCTGCTCTTGGTAATATGTAAGAGTCTCTCAGTAGGTACCTGTTCTTGAAGGCTTGGGAGCAGCTGAGGCTTGGCATTGTGAGAGGCTAGGAGGGGCCACTCATGAAAGTGAGGCCTCCATTGCAGTAGAAGCCCCAGGACTGGAGTGGCCATGGAGAGAAGTTGAGGCTTGGTACCATGTGGCAGGCCAGAGACCCTGAGGAGAGCCCAGGAGAGACTATTGGTGAAGCTGCAACCCGGGTGCAGTGGAAACACCAGCATTTTGGAGATGCCAGTACCATAAAAGGACCATCGCGAGCAGCAGCAGCTGTGGAGTGGAGCCCGCCTGAGCCTGTGAGACAAGCCGTATGTGCTGTGGACGGCAGAGCCCGAGACCGGCAGCTGCCCAGGCCTTTAGAGCCCAGAAGACCATGAGTCCCAGATGGCGGACGCAGAGCTTCAGTCGGACTTCGATCTTGCTTTGATTCATGACTGTGCCCTGGTTATTCACTCTTGGAATAACAAAATACTTGATTTTACAGAAATCCACAATTATGAGACCTTAGATAATTTCGAGAAACTTGGTAAATTTTAGAGAGACTCCAAAGTTTCAGAGAGACTCTAGAGTTGTAGAGACTGGATTTTCAGGGAGACATTGAAATTTTTAAAGACTTTAGACTTTTAAGTATTAAAAATTTTAAGGACTGTGAGACTTTTAAAACTTGGAATGCTTTACATTGTCCTATTAATGACATCTTGGGAACAAGAAAGGAAAAGTTACAGTTTGACAGTGATGTGTTTTTGTGTCAAGTTGACAAAAGGTCAATTTCCTGGTTTTTTGTTTTGTCAATTTGACACAAGCTAGAGTTATCTAGAAAGAGGAACTTTAATTGAAGGAAACGCCTCCATCCAGAGGGTCTGTAGGCAAGACTGATGAGGAGAGGCCCAGCTCCTTGTGGGTATGCCACTCCTGTGCATGTGGTCCTGACTTGTGTAAGAAAGCAGGCTGGGCAGGTCAGGAGAACCAAGCCACTAAGCAGCACTCCTCCATGGCCTCTGCTTCAGTTCTGGCCTCCAGGTTCCTGCCTTGAGTTTCTTCCCTGACTTCCCTCAGTGATGGTCTATAATGTGGAAGTATAAGATGAAATAAACCCTTTCCTCCTTAAGATACTTTAGGTTACAGTGTTTTAACACAGTGACAGAAACCCTAGGACATCATCTAAATATATATATAAAATAGGTACAGTCAGAGCATTTTTTTTTTCAGTCAGACCTCAATGACATGTGCTCTGAACAGCTTCTTTGAAAAATCATGACACATTGAGGCTGATAAAGTTCCCCCATTCACTTGTAGCAAAGTCCAGAGATAGCTGATGAGAGCGCCTAGCTCTCAA